GCTGGTGTGTGCTCCTCCTCTCTCGCTCCAGGTCTCCTCTGAGGCCGCGCGCCCCACACGGCCGGGGCCAACGGCGCTCGCTTGTCCTGTAACATTTCAGGGTATCGGGGCGCCCGCTCTGGCAAGTACCCGCCGCCGATCCAGCTCCTTCCAGCAATGCTGTGCCCGCCCCCTCGGAGCCCCTTCGCGCCCACCCACACCCCGCCCCTGCCGCCTCTTTGGGCTTCCCTGCCCCAAAGGTAGTGGGCCACGCCGTGGTGTGCGGGGCGGCCCTCCCGGTGGCAGTGGGCTCAGCCAGTGCGGTACCGGCGGTGGCCAGTGTGATGCCTACACGTGGCCACGTCCCGTCACTTGTAAACAGCGGAGGCGCCTACTCGCCTGCTTGGTGTGGTAAGGCGACATTCCTGGCGGGGCGGTGCGCTAACACTAGGCTACCAACCACCACTTACCCCCTCCCCCTCCCCGTCCTGTCATAACCTGCGTCAGGGGCCGCATGGCTGGCCGCCGCAGTGTCTGCTGCCCCTCATGCCCGCCCCTGAGGATTCACCGTCCTAGGCGGAGATAGTAACTCGCTCCTCATCAGCTGGGCAGGTGAGGCGCTCCCTGCCAGGTGATGGGAGGTGTTAGTGAAGCGGGAGTGTGTGAACAGGACGGAGGTGGCGCTTCGAACGGCAGCCGAGGCGTTCTGTGGCTGCAAGGTGGGCGCGTTGTGTGCATATGATCGTCGCCGTCGTCGTTAGCTCGAGCGTGCGAGCGGGGGTGAGAGTCATGGCTAATAACACCGGAGTGGGTAACGGCCGACCCATCATGGTGACCACCCACCCGACAACTAGTGATGGACTCTGGTTGGCCAGGTACCAGGACCTTCCTCCCCCCCAACCCCACCTAGCCCACCCCACCCCCACCTCGCGTGTAGTGTCGCTATATACACCCCCAGCCATAGCGCACCGCTGGTCAAAACGTGAAGACCACGACCTGCAGACACACACGAACTGCTCTCACCCCGGCGAGCAGTGCACGGGCGCGTGTTTATTCCTGTGGTGAGCATTGCTGGACTTGGAGGAACCCGGAGCCGGAGGAGCCGTTGAGGCAGGGGCACCCCGCTGCAACTATGCGCTTTTTTCTTCTCCAGGGACTTTAACCGTGGCGCGCACATGAATGACTTAAGATGCCAACCTCCTTCACTGTGCTCCTGTGCCCATCTTTCTTATGCTCTTTCTTCCTCTTTCTCCTCTTCCTCCTCTTCCTCCTCTTCCTCCTCTTCCTCCTCTTCCTCCACGTGTCCTTCGCTATACCAACAATAACAGACATTGTGTGTACAATACTCTCTAATAGAAAACGTTCTCAGTTATATTATAGAAAACGTTGCAACGATGCTCGCCTGTCTAGAGAAAACAATCCGTTTTTGTGTTTAAAGATGTTGAACTTGAAGGGGAAACATAACTGTAAACATTTGTGATCGACGCTGGAGTGAACTGTGTCCTTTCCATAAACAGAGATGTTGTTCTCAGAAACATATAAAAGAAAAAAAGTCAGATCAGCATAGAATAGAAAAAGTAAAAATTGTTTGAGTCTTTTTCCACACACGCTTGTGAATGGAAGTTCAAGTTAGCCTGAACAGCAAGATGCACCCTTGAACTGGTGAACTTCTTATAGTGCTGTTGCAGTGAAATGATCACTTGTGCTTGACTGAATTGACCAAGTGCCTTGGTGTGCGCGCCGAGTAGGCCTATAAATTATGAGAGGGCTTTGTGTAACTTTTTCTGCAGTGCTTCTTCAGGAGCTGCGTTGGGGTTGTAAGTGCGGGGACTGTGCCTGTATGGTATATGTACATTAATATATATATATATATATATATATATATATATATATATATATATATATATATATATATATATATATATACATATATATACATATATATACATATATATACATATATATACATATATATACATATATATACATATATATACATATATATACATATATATATATATATATATATATATATATATATATATATATATATATATATATATATATATATGCATATATATGTATACACACACACACACACACACACACACACACACACACACACACACACACACACACACACACACACACACACACACACACACACACACACACACGCATACATATACATATACAGATACATATACATAATATTTACATATAGATATGTAAATTTATATATACAAATACACATATATATATGATATATATATATATATATATATATATATATATATATATATATATATATATATATACCGGTATATATATTTTTTCATATATATATATATATATATATATATATATATATATATATATATATATATATATATATATGTATGTCTGTGTGTATATATATATATAAATATATTTATATATATATATATATATATATATATATATATATATATATATATATATTCATATATATTATATATGTATATTTGTATGGATATAATAT